ATTCTATGGCTGAAAACAAGACGTGGACCCTTATAGATAAGCCACAGGGTAGACATATAATAGGTAACAAATGGGTGTTCACCATAAAAACCGATGAATTAGGTAACATACAAAGATATAAGGCTAGGCTAGTGGCTAAGGGTTATTCACAAATACATGGAGTAGACTATGATGAAATCTTTTCTCCAGTAGTAAAATTGCAAACTGTTCGAACACTATTAAGTGTAGCTAATGACAGAAACTATGAACTACATAGCATGGATGTTAAAACTGCGTTTTTAAATGAATTCATTGACGAAGAAATTTATATGGAACAACCATTAGGTTTTACTGATGGTGACACACATCTTGTTTGTAAATTAAATCGTTCTATCTACGGTCTAAAACAAGCTTCCCGGAAATGGAATGAACGGCTTCATCAATTTTTAATAGGTCAGAATTTTCAAAGATCTCTGCTTGACCCTTGTTTGTATTTTATCATTACTACAGACTACGAATTTTTCTTGCTAGTTTATGTTGACGATATAATCTTGGCTTGTAATCGTCTAAAAGTGATGGAAGACTTCAAACATGTTCTGAGTTCAGAATTCAAAATGACGGATTTGGGGGAATTGAAAAATTTCCTTGGGCTACACATTGTCAGAAATAGAAGGGATAAAATTATGACAATCAATCAACATAAATATCTGCTCAGTATTTTAGTTAAATATGGAATGAAAGATTGTAAGCCCATGAAAACGCCGATAGAGGTAAAAATAAATCTAGGCAAAGAATTAGACAAGGAAGAAACTGATAAGCCTTACAGAGAGTTGTTGGGATCACTTATGTACTTAATGCTAGGCTCTCGCCCAGATTTGAGCTTCCCTTGAAACTATCTCAGTAGATTTCAGAGTCATCCCACAATTTTGCACTGGCATCATTTGACTCGTGTCTTGAGGTATTTGAAAAATACAGAAAATTATGAATTAATTTACAAACAAAATGACGCTACACCCTTAACAGGTTATGCAGACTCCGATTGGGGTAATGATAAAGTAGACCGGCGCTCAACTTCCGGATATATTTTTTTCTCTCTTGGAAATTGCGTTTCATGGGCGACCAAGAAACAAACAACAGTGGCTCTGTCATCAACAGAAGCTGAATATGTTACTTTATGCACAGCAACTAGTGAAGGTTTGTGGCTAAAAGGTCTAATGAATTCTTTTAAAATACCAGTTGAAAAAATCATTGTAAAAGAAGACAATGCTGCTAAAAATCCAATTAATCATGGACGGATGAAACATATTGACATCAAATATAATTTTATTCGTGAATTGGTAGAGAACAAAACAGTTGTAATCGAGTATGTGCCAACGAATGCGCAAATAGCTGATATTTTGACAAAGGGAATCCCAACCCCACAATTTGAGAACTTAAGATTAAAATTAGGGGTTGAACTTCAGGGGGGATAATTGTGTCAAAATCGTCGGTTTTGTTTTTCGCGAAATTACTTATCTACACCTGATTGCGATTAAGGGGTGGATTGTAGGCTATAATCTTATCAGCTGTTTTTTTATGATAAAATATGAGAGTGTCTATTTGATAATAAAAGTCATAGAAGTGATTCGTAGTGTTCTTTTATTACAATCAACAGAAAATTCTCAGTTAGGGACACCAGAAATTAAAATTTTGTAATGAGATTAGGAAAAATGTTAATCAATTTTACCTTAGAAGTATGTCTCTACTAGCCGAAACTATTCCGAGAAAAACATTTTCTTTCGGCCCACCTTACTATAGAGGACCATCCGGAAAAAAGGCACATGTGAAACACTGCTATTTTTCAGGAGGGACAAGCAACTACCTAGATTTCACAAAACACAATGCTACGACGTAGTAAATGTATCTAGTTTCACAGTACAGGGTGTCCTGAAAGTCCCTTCCACCTCCTCTAAGATATTACCTAATTAATATTTTAAAACGAAACTTTGGGGATGTTCACAGATCATTTTTCTCCCCATGGGGGGGGGGGGGGGGGATACGGACCCCAACATTTTTTTTAAATGGCAACCCCCTCCCTCCCCCCCCCCCCCCCCCCCCCCCCCGTGTGACACATCAATCGAAAGAATATGAAACAAGGCAATTTTTAGCGCAAACCGCAAGTCAAAGCTTGATTTTTGACAAAATGGCGGCCGGTCAAAGTTCAATATAACGGAATTTTGACATCTCTGCTTTTGTCAACGAATTGGGACGAAACCTTGATGTTTTTGGGACGAGAATAACGATTCTGACAATAGTTTTTTAAAAAATTCTGTCCTTTTCAAAATGGCGACCTTGAGAGGGTATTGGATATTCAGGCTGCGTGTCGGTGGATTTGCATGAAACTTGGTATCTGGTGATACTTCGGCACAGGGAAGATGAATCTTCCGTTGGATTTTTTAAATTTCGAAAAATTTCAACATGGTGGCGGAAAAATGGCGGAAACTTGGTAGTACGGACGTTTACGGTTGGATTCGCATGAGACTCGGAAATGTATTGGTTTCTGCTTTGATAAAAATGGCTCTCCCGTATTACATTAAATTGTTATATACATTCCCGATTTGTTAAATACATTCAAAATGGCGGCTGGGTTTCATGCGAATGCAACCGTAAGCGTCCACAATACCAAGTTTTCGCGATTTTGAAGTTATTCAGAATTTCAAGGATTCAATGAAAGATGCGTTTTTCTCGTGCTCAAATACCCCCGGCTACCAAGTTTCATGCAAACCCACCGATTAGCAGCCTAAATATTCTGTTACCCCTCTAGGTGACCATTTTGAACGCCGCCATTTTGGAAAGGACAGAACTTTCCAAAAAAACTAATGCCAGAATCGTTTTTCTCGTCCCAAAAAACTCACAGATACCAGGTTCCGTCTCAATCTGTCGGCAAATACAGAAATGTTTAATTTCCGTTATTTCCGTAACTTTGACCGGTCGCCATTTTGTCAAAAATCAAGATTTTGAATTGCGGTTTGCGCCAAAAAAAATTTGTTTTTCATCTTCTTTCGATTGATGTGTCAAATTAAAGGAGGGTTGCCATTTGAGCAAAAAACTCGGGGTCCATTTCCCCTCTCCATGGGTGGGGGGGGGACGTCAAAGTAGCTGACATTGATCTATGAGTATTCCCAAAATTTCGTTTCAAAATATTGATTAGGTAAAAAATTAAGAGGGGGTGGAAGGGACTTTTGGGACACCCTATATAATTAGTAAGGCGGCTCGAAAAGAATTTTTGAGACACCTCAGTATGGACACCTAAAAAAATGGGAAAGAACGTAGAGATATTCCCTTTTTCAAGTTTATCACTTTTTCCCCAGCTTTAGCTAGGATTATTGAGACTCTGTGCTAAAAAAAATTCAAGATACTACTAAGTAATACTAGTACTAATACTAGTACTTTTTTGGTGTTATTTATTACAAGAGATGGAAGAATCCACTTTTGAATCATGTTAGATCGTACTTCCGCACAATTCGAGAGGAAAAGGTGTCATATAAAATTGGTATGCATGAATTTTCATGGTTTAAGCTCTAATAGAAAAAATTGATACGCATGAACTTTCATGGTTTAAGCTCTAATAGAAATAGAGCTTATTAATTACTTCCGGAAGAATTATGAGGCCAACGTACTTTAATGAAAAAAGACGGTTCCATTGGTCAGTGTAAGTAGCAGCAAAAGATTAATTAAGTTTAAATGAAAACAAGAAGGTGTGACAGTTAAATTGATATCTACAAAAAGAAACAGACAGAATTCCCCATATTCCACCACGCTTGGGCTTCTGGAAGTCGTGGATGATGGGAAGGGAAGAAGTGGGGTTTCCCTCCCAATGGTAAATAATGGTACCTATTTGAAAGGTTACTATCCTTTCATTACAGAAAATGTTAAGATATTCATCTGGGATCACTATCTGTTGAATATTTTACACTTTGAGAGGAGTAGGGTAGTGGTGGAGGTTAGAGGGGGGAGGGGGGAGACCTTCCCTTACTAGCTCTGTTGTGGCCGCACTTCTCCTCGCTCTGCCCTCTGCCCTTGATCATAAGGAATGACCAAAAACCAAATGTATGTGTGCCCTTTTTCCAATTGATTGATATTTTCCCGGACTTTCGTGGACTGTTTGAAGCACTACTCGGCGGAGTTTGGGTGTGAAACTTCTTGAATGTATGACTTTACTCCTACACAATTTTTCGCACCAAAAAGCTTAAAATCGAAAAAAGTTCACATGTGCTCTTATTTCGGTACACTCTTTTATGTCCAGACAGTCAGCAATGGAGCAAGAAAGAAACAAGTTCGCGAGGATTTACACGTATTATTTCAGGGCGTTTTTTCAAGGCAGAGCCTTTGAGATTAAGTATCTAGAATTAAAGTCTCCAAAATGGCCATAATAACTCTACAAAGAGATGTAAAAAATTTTTTTAAAAAAAGTCTCTGGAACCGGAATCTCTAAATCTAAAGTTCCTCCAGATAGAACTTCCAGAGTGAGAACTCTCCCCAAATTCTGTCCCCTCCAAACTCTTCACTTTATACTCAGTTAACTAGCTTTGAAAAGTTTCCTTGCGAAATACGCTGAATCGTGCTAAGAAACTGATGTTTTAACAACAAATTTTGAAAAATTCACAACTGTTGTGGCGATGGTTTGTGCCATGATTAAAATTCTGGTTTCGTAGACAAAGCAAATTAATGACGTGCAAATGAGGCGTTCTCCTGTGGTAAAATTCTGGCAGAGAATATTGTGCAAAATTAGATGAAAATCAGGTTATCAGCAAGATATGACATCTTTCCCGAGGGAACTTTTCATGTACATTTCATTGTTGTTCCAGTGATATTCTTCATCTTGATTTTCATAAGTACATAATAAGCCTCAAATTTTAGACCCCTCCCTGGAAATCAGCAATATTTTAAAGATATTGCTATAAAATATGCACTCTATTGACCTGAAAAAATAATCGATTTTTGGTTATTGATGTGTAGATATAGAAAAACTAATAACTTACCAGTAAACCGGTTTCGACGCTAGGCAATAGGGTTAAGCGACTTCCTTCGACTAATTGATTCTCATGGACAGTGCCATTTCGTAGTTGTCTGCACAAAAAAAATAAAAAAACAACGACAACGTGAGGAATGCATCATTTATGAGGAAAATGAGAAAATCGGAAACTACAACTATATTATGTTATATTATACAGGGTGGGCCAGAAGTTCCAGGACGGTCGGCTAACTTTTGAACGGTTCGAGATAGAAAAATGAAACTTTGGGAATGTTCCTATCTCAAAGCGGACCATCTTATGGGGGGGTCAAAATTTTGGTCCCCCCTAAGGGAGGGGGCGGGGGGCCCCCAACTTTTTTTTTTCAAATGGCAACCCCTATCTTGTGATACCTCATTCGAAAGACCATAAAAAACTAAGAATTTTGGCGCAAACCGCAGATCAATATCTTAATTTTTGACCGAGTTATGATAGGGTCAAAGGTCAAATTTGACCTATTTTAAAAAATCACAACTCCGGTTCAAATTATCGTAAAGAAAAAAATAAAACGGGAAAATTTACTAAATTGTGTCCGCTTTTTTGTAAAAATTGCAGAAATCACTTCGAACTAATTTTAAGGGGGGGTTCGGACCCCCAAATACGTCAATTCAAAGGTCATTCAATTTTCCCGCGAAATAAGCCAATTTCTCCCAGATTTGCCTCCAAATTATCTCAATAAGGTCAAAATCAGTTCAACATTACGTTGGGCAAGTCCCCAAATTTCAGGAAAAGTTAAAAAAACCCAATTTAAGGTATAATTAAATTTGACCGTTTAAATTGGTTTTTTTTTAACTTTTCCTGAAATTTGGGGACTTGCCCAACGTAATGTTGAACTGATTTTGACCTTATTGAGATAATTTGGAGGCAAATCTAGGGGAAATTGGCTTATTTCGCGGGAAAATTGAATGACCTTTGAATTGACGTATTTGGGGGTCCGAACCCCCTCTTAAAATTAGTTCGAAGTGATTTCTGCAATTTTTACAAAAAAGCGGACACAATTTAGTAAATTTTCCCGTTTTATTTTTTTCTTTACGATAATTTGAACCGGAGTTGTGATTTTATAAAATAGGTCAAATTTGACCTTTGACCCTATCATAACTCGGTCAAAAATTAAGATATTGATCTGCGGTTTGCGCCAAAATTCTTAGTTTTTTATGGTCTTTCGAATGAGGTATCACAAGATAGGGGTTGCCATTTGAAAAAAAAAGTTGGGGGCCCCCGCCCCCTCCCTTAGGGGGGACCAAAATTTTGACCCCCCCATAAGATGGTCCGCTTTGAGATAGGAACATGCCCAAAGTTTCATTTTTCTATCTCGAACCGTTCAAAAGTTAGCCGACCGTCTTGGAACTTCTGGCCCACCCTGTATTATGATTATAATTTGATAATAGCAAATCATGAGATACGGAGCAGGTTCTGATACAAGTCTTTCTGCTCGCACAGTGATACTATCACACTTTGCCTGTCCATTTAGACTTATGATATCCTACAAAATTGCACAATATTTGACCCTGTTCTAACACACACAGGTCTAAAAGCGGCGCAAGTCTTCGTCTTCGGAATCGTAAAAAAGTAATCGTAGGAGAAATTATTGCAGATGCGCCATGGGGCGGGGGGGGGGACGTTTCCGGCTACTTATGGGGTCAATTGTGCTGTACTCGTTCATGATACGTCAAAATGGATGAAATTTTTGCTCTGGAAGGCAACAATTGGTCAACATCTTTAAGGAAACATTTATTTGAACACTTAATAAGAGGTATTCCAAAAGGCCTTTTAGGCTTATTTGCGGTAGCAGGAGGTCAATTTTATGCAACGAAATTTTTTGCACTTCACATGGAGCCCATTTGGCGACTTTTTTTTGATGATACGCGTTCCTCCTCTCAAAGTCGATACAAATCCACCCTACTATACAAGGCACCACACGGTGGTCGCTTGCAAAGACATGAGGCGATGGAGAACTCGTATCGGGGCTGCCACAGAATTTAGAAAAGGAAATTCCCTGACAGTTCCCCGATTTTCCTGACCCATTCTGGTGAAATTCCCTGACAACTGAGAGTATGTCAGACGCTCAAAAAGACATGTTTTGAAATCGTTTTCAGGCGATATTTGTTGTTCGAAACGTCAAACCTATTCTAGAGAGGAAATAAAGGTGACTGGACAATTTTTCCTTGACATTTCCAGATTTTCCTTAACTTTTTAAAATTCTCTCACTTTTCCCGGTTTTCCCTGACTGTGGCAACCCTGTCGTATGTACATACGGGGGACAGGTGTAGCCACCTTGGCGCTGCTTGGTTTGTCTGTGTGTGAATTGGTAGGCCGACATTCATAATTTCAAATTTGAGGGAAATATTTTGTGCTTCATTTGTGATAATTGTTGCGCTAAAAATATACCAAGGGCTCAAGTATTTTCGACATGTCACCAAAGAACAATTTGGTCAGCTTATTTCACGATAGCGCTCTAATTTCTTCTTTAGAGCCGAACGATGTGATCGAAAAAAAAACGCTTTCCAGCCAGAGTGGAAACGAGAGGTAGATTTTGACTAATCGTTTCTATGAAAACAGTTGCGCCTACTGAGCCTGACAGGTCGGAAAATCGTCCCCCTTGAACTTTATATTTTCTGGATAAGGGGTGGTTTTAGAGGGTAGGTTAATATAGGATGTTTTGAAGGTCACGATGAGACGAGTTTTTTGAGGTATCGTCGACTTAGATCGGACGAGTTCGGAAAATCATCCCTCAGTGATCTTGACGTCACCGAACTAGGGGATGGGCCGATTTTCACCAAAAATGAAACTTGATCTAGACCTCATAGCAGTGAAGAACCATGCTTAGTTTCGTTTTGATCGTGTGGATAGTTCCGGAATATATATATATATGCAGGAAACCCGTGCTACGCACAGGAAAACCCCCACCATCAGCGATCACTGTGATTAGTGATCAGTTACTAATTGTGTTTCTGAATTATTTTTTACTATTTCAAAATTGGCGAGACGCACTGGTTTGATAAAAATGCAGAGATTAGTAGTATGCTGATTAAAGCTGCTATTTTGGTCTGTTCTGCAGTAAGCTCATATGATCATTATAATAATCAACAATACCCAATCAAAAGTTGGTTATTTTCATAAAGATTTGTTACTTTTGTCAGTCCAATGTTTACTTGAAGTTATAGTTGGTGAGTTTCAGCCGCAAAAATTACGGGATTTAACCAGCGGTTTCGTTTAATTCTCAGCAATGGCGGGTTTGTCATCGACATCGCGGAGAAAACGTGATTTTTCCAGGGATTTTGTAAAACAAATTAGAAATTACACGATAATCACCACGATATCACGGCAAATACGTCGTGTTCCTGGCGAATTTCTAAGAGTATTATAATTGCGCGTTATTCAAATCAATATCGTGGCATACACGCGAATTTCTTACTCAATTAAGACTACGTAAATGTGCGCATAAAACTCATAAACACCTATTACTTGGGATGGGCGAAAACGTATGATTTTCCTTCAATTTTTTATGATACCACATACCCACTCCGGAGTTCAAATAGTTGCTCGCTTCATTTCTGCTTGTTAAAAGTGACGAATTGCAAGAATCCAATCTCGATTTTACGAGAACTATGGGATGTAACCATCGGTTTCCTTGTATAAGATTTAATGCTTTGAAATTAAGGGGGGAAAAAAGGGGAAAAAAACATTAGCGATGATCCAAAATTTTGCAAGTATGACTCATGTGTTTCGGTAAACTATGATAGAAACAGAAAGCAGGTGGAGAATGTCGAAACGATGTTCTAGTTTTGCTCTGCTGTCAGCACCGCGTCTGCAGGCGCTGTTTGACCGAGCCGTCATCACAGTCCAGAACGCCTTCAATATAGCGAGCGGCAATGTGGACATCCCCCGTGGTGAAATAGTTGTATCAAGAGCGCCTTCCACGATCGGAGTCAAATATTGATGAAATGCGCGAAGAAACCCCGCTTCTCCTCCGATTGCACCGTTGCACACCGTCTTTATGTTCCATTTGGGTTTATTTATTTTATTTTTGAAGCCAAACAACAGCTTCTATCAAAATTTTTCGAGAATTCGCCTAAATCATTTCAAAACAGAACCAATGCACAGACAGATTTTCCAGATTTTCACATCCCTGGGAGAGTAGCCCGGCAACGGATGCACGAGTCGGAGCTCGCAAAAATCATGGCGCGGCGTTTCCAACAGCGCGACGCCGAACTCGTTCCATCCTCCTCGCATTCGTTGGACGCCGAACTCTTTCCATCTTCTTCGTACCCGTCGCGCGTACCAGAAGAACATACGTAAAGTGTATCGGCTGTTTTCCAGCGCGAGGCGCGGAACTTGCTCCATCTCGCTCGCACTCTCTCTCGCACCCGTTGTCCTTACGGGAAAATCGACACACGCGGACCGCGATATCCCGCGAACCGGCGGGCGGATCGCGAAATCCTCCCTTATCCGGCGCCTCGGGGTAGAGAGGGATCCCAGTGCGGAATCTCAGGATCACACGGCCTCCCGTTCACGAGATCCGCTGATACGTGAGTGAGTGAGTGAGTCAGTCAGTCAGTCAGTGAGTCAATCAACGTGAAGTCTGCTTTATTAGTATAGATATACTAGCCGTTCTGGGCGCGCTTCGCGCGCCCGGCACGTCTAGCCGGGGGGCTGCGCCGTGCGCCCCCTGGACCCCCGGTCACTCGCTACGCGAGTGACATTCGGCTCGCTTCGCGAGCCGATTTTGTAGTGGTTGCGAATTTTTTATCACTTTATTAAGTAGATTTCATAGAAAACATTATTCAATTTTCACTCCACAATTAACTTGTAGAATAATAATGACGGGGCAAGAGATAGACTGTATCTTGAAATGGACGGTTCCCACTTACAATTAGCAGAAACAGCCAACACCACGAGTAAGTGAGGAACCATCTTTAGCCACTTTTTTTTTTACTTTTCTGAAAAATATTACTGAAACTTTAGTTGCGCTTCCTTAAATGATAAGTGTTAATATAAATTTCCCTTTTTTACAGTGTTGTTAAAATAATAAAAAGTTACCCAGCGGGAAATGTAATT